CCTGGAAGTCCCGAGATCAAAATGGGAGACGCCCCCAAGAGTGGGAGAGAATGAGCGAGCTAAGATCCTGTGGGACTTCCAGATACAGACGGACAAAATGATGGTGGCTAACCAACCGAACATAGTGGTGGTAGACAAACAGAAGAAGACAGCCATAGTGATAGATGAGTAGTTCCGAATGACAGCAGCATCAGGAAGAAGAAACACGTGAAACTTGAGAAATACCAAGGGCTCAGAGAAGAGCTAAAGAAGATGTGAAGGGTGAAGGTAACAGTGGTCCCAGTGGTAATCGGAGCACTAGGTGCGGTGACTCCCAAACTAGGCGAGTGGCTCCAGCAGATCCCAGGAGGAACATCAGAGCAACATCTTCTGGACGTCTCTGTCCAGAAGAGTGTAGTCCTAGGAACAGCTAAAATACAGCGCAGGACCCTCAAACTCCCAAGCCTCTGGTAGAGGACCCGAGCTTGAAGAATAGACTGCCCACCGGGGCGAGTGGGGAATTTTTTTTATATGTATATTCGGCCCTCGCACTTAACTAGGCAGATTGATAACCATCATGTCGCAAAGAAAAAACAAAGAAAAAATTGTAGAGTTTTTTCTCTATATGTACCATCGTAGGGTATATTGTAGCGCCAAATCACAACAACAGTCACATTGAGGCGACTGTTGTTGTGATTTGGCGCTATATACATAAAATTGATTTGAATTGAAAGAAAAACCACATCGTTGTATTGCCTTGTTCAGGCAAGGATTTCTTCAAAAATCTGTTGATAACAATTATTGACAGTCTGCTACTATAAGCAGTTGAACAGAACAGCCAGCAGATGTCACCGTGGAGATGGGTTTCATATTGTTTCAAAGCTTCAATACATTTCTGGCAGAAATGCTTTGACTGTTTCAGTGTTTACAAAACCTCGCTTTGCCCATCGGTAGAGTTGGACTGTAGTGGAGTGGAGTGTAAATAAAAAGGCTGAATAGCCTTTATACAAGCACACACACACTTCTTAGCATTGCAGCTCTAATCCAGCTAATTAGAGTTAAGCTAATCCATTTGCTAATATAATAGCTAAACCGTGACCTACCAGGAATGGGAAATACAGTGAGGAAATGGATTTGAAAATGAGAAATGGAATCGGCATTTTAAATGTCAGAAATATATCTTTGATTTGTTTTTAATTAAATTACTTCTTTCTCTTTTTAATTGTATTTTTTCATTTGAAGTAATTTGTTTTGAAATATTGATATACAAATATATAAATTGATTTATAAATAGTGATTTTATTTTAAATTCAATTGTTAAATAATAGTAATATTTAAATAAATAAAATAATTTAAAAATTCGTAAATGAATTTACTAACGCATATTTTATTGCCGATAACCGATAACCAGGATAGATAGGCAGGCAGACTAACAATTCAAAGGAATTAGACTACTGGGAACCGGTTCTCTACAACAACTGGTTCTCGATTATGTGCACTCTGTATTTGCACCAGTAAAATGACACAGCAAGACATCATTCTACAAACGGTTTCATAGGTCTCTCCACCTACCTCCAGGGTGAAGGACAGCACTACATCAGACTTGGACAGCGCATTCTCATCCTCCTGGCCCATGTCCATGATGGAGGTGTTGTGGCCTCGTTTTAGCTTCTGCAGCTTGAACTCTCCTCCTTTGGACACTGGCATGCTTTCCAGGTTTGCCATCAGAAGGTTGACAGAGGATCGCAGCTCCTCAATGTACATGGCCTCCATTTCTCTAGAGACAAACCGAGGGAACTTCCCCCCATACTGACAAAAATGGGAAAGCCGCCAATTAAATAATGAACATGATCCAACAATCTGCCTTGTGTGTTCAATAAAGTATCTATCTATCTGATCCAAAGAAAAACTTTAAAGCAAATTTGTTAAATTTTGATAAAGTCTATTCCAGCTATCACAGGGCAGGAATAAGGGTACAAGACAGGTTGCCAGTCTGTTACAGGACTAAAATGGAAATGGAGACAGACATTTCTGCTCACACCTACTGCCAATTTTGCCAGTCAGTCTAACATTCATAACTTCAGACTGTGAGAGGACGCTGGAGTACCCACTGATCATATAAACTCCACAGAGAAAGGCCCCAGCCAGCTAGCAGATTTGAACCATTACTATTACCATCTATTAATGTGGGTTCTACCTTATAATATAAAGCGCCCTATAGGATGACTGTTGCTGTGATGTGGAGCTGTATAAATAAAATTGAACTGAACCTTCCAGCTACGACATAATGGTGCTAACCACCAAACCACCGTGCTGCTCATTTCTAATAAATGTTATATAAATGTAAAAATTTAACTGAGGAAAAATGTCTGTATTTATATCATATGTTGAAATATAAAATAAGAGTCAATCCTTACCTATTATTATTATCCTAACCCTATTATTAATCTCCTCAACCATCCAAATGTCTTACCCGAGCAATCTGGTCTGCCATTTGAAGTCGTCCATCCAGCTCTCTTCTGATCTGTGCTGCCTGTTCATCTGGGTTGTCCAGCTGGGGAAACATATTACACATATTGTGCATATTGCTCTTTTTAAACAAAAAACTCCCAAGTACACTAATAAGACATAACCTTATGACCACTGACAGGTGAAGTCAATAAAATGTGAGATATATTGGGCAGTGTGCTCTGTAGCTAGAATGTTTTCAATTTAGAAAATAATCTGTGCAAATTAATTAAATTATCTTGACTAAAGAAAACTGTGCTTGAATATTAGTTAAATGTCAGTGCTGTAGTTCAATGACTGAAAGCTTAGATGGAGAAAATAGGTGAGGGGATTTATTCAGTACTAACTGCCTCAAAGCCCTCCAAATGTCTACCATACTTCCTCTGATAGAAGCCAGGTAACCTTGCAGGACCGGTAAATGGCCTGCATTTGTATAGCGCTTTACTTTGTCTCTAAGGACCCCAAAGCCCTTTGCACTACATTTAGTCATTCACTCATTCACACACACATTCACACACTGTAATCGTCAGCCCCACTCGTTAAATAAATAAATGTAAATGGATTGATAAAAAATAATTAAAACAACACTGTCAGTTCTGCCATTTGAAGTTTTGCTTCAATGTACAAATCACAAATATGAAATACAATAGCATGCGGGACGAGCTTTGGGAGAGGCAGTAGGAAAGTAGGAAACCAAAAGGCAGAGTAGACTCACATTCACACCTATGGGCAATTTAGAATAACCAGATAACTAACCAGCTAAATCCCACTAACAGCATGTGTTTGCACTGGATTATCAGACTCTTCCAGGGCAGTAGGTCTCAAAATGGTAGGAAGGTAGAGTAGGTCAATTCAATTCCATTTTATTCATATAGTGCCAAGTCAAAACAACAGTCGGCTTAAGGTGAACCCTACAATAATACCGAGAAATGCCAACAATCGAGCAAGCACTTTGGCGACAGAGGGAAGGAAAAAATCCCTTTTTTATAGGCAGAAACTTCCATCAGAATCAGGCTCGCTAAAGGGTCATCGATTTTTACAATTTTAAGTTGTTTTTTTATTTATATACTCAAATATAGGACATATTCATATTTTAAGTACTTCAAAATCTAAATGACAGATTGTGATTAATTTTGACAATAAGAAATAGCACTGAAAGTGTAGTTTATGAGATATTCACGGTTGAGTAATATTATTTATGAACTTTATGT